AAGGTAACCTTTGAGAATCACCATCTGAGATGTCTGTGCATATCGGTCAGATAAGAGGGTGTGATGTGTATATAAGCTGAGTTCCATTCCCAGTCAAATTTGGCTTATGTTTCAGAGAGGGAAGCCATTAACTGGAAAGAGAGTGGTATAAATAGAATAAGATAAAAACTATGCCTCCTTTGAATAACTGATAGGTAAGGATATTGGATTAGAGGTTTATATATTTGGAAGCATTGTAAATGCATCTTGGATGTAAATTGGAAACAACTGGCCTGACCAACAGATGTATAACTGGTGGGAGGAAGTTATGTGCATAATAAAGGCATATTCCCTGAAAATTGAGTGGAAGAATGTAGAAGAACAGATAAGGTAAACTATTTAAAGGTTGCCATGATAGTAGGCTTTGATCTAAACATCCCTAGGCCAGGAGTTCTCAACCTTGTTAGACATGAGGCCCTACTCAGAAAATGCCAGCTCTTAAGCTTCACTTGTTTCTTGACTGTTTAAAAAAACCCTGCATTTACTTTAATGTAAGACCACTTTGAATATAAGATAGCTCCCCGATAATTAGATTATGCATATGAAAAGTGTATAAATTTGTTATAATTTTCCAGATATAGAATCTAATTATTGGAGGCTTGCCTTGAATTTGTCCCCCTCCCACTGCTGCAGCAGGAAGATAAATCTGGGGGGTCAAATAGTCCCTTGCCCTCTTCCCCACAACTTCTTTCCCCTGCAGCCTCTTCCCCCGTCCTTACGTTAGACCCTGCTTAGTCTGAGAACATGGAAATGAGAAGCAAATTTAAAAACACTGATCTTGAAATAAGCAACCCTATAGTAATTTCCATATAATACCCACAGACTTAATTCATTCAGAATTGATGCATATTACCTTTTTTTAGAAACTACTGCAAGTTTTAGCACAGGTACTCCATAAACACACTTTTAAGCAGCACTTCTGTACCTACTTATATAGCATATACTCTTATGCATTATATTAGTCCAAAACCAAAGGCTCATGATTTTTCATTTAGTTCATTGGGCTGGGCCCCATCAGGGTCAACAACATTTCAAGCCATGGTGACCTCACAGCTCAGCACTGCTCAGGATGTGTGTGCACTCCAGAGCCAGCCTCCCCTTCCCCTACACCCAAAGGCTTCATGTGCTAATTAGCCTCCCATTCATGACTGGAACAGAGTGTTCTTGTCACAAGCCCTGGGCTGCTCCAAAAATTTATGTGCATATGAGGCATAGTGCAACTTGGTTGGGTTCTACCTCATGGAGGCTAGGACTACACTAATCATATGTAACAGAGGGGGCAACAGAGATATTCTGAGTCAACTTCAGGAAAGCCGACCTTGACAAGCTCAGGAGGCTTGTCAGTGAGGCCCTAAGGGACCATGACCACGGGGAGAGGGGAGTTCAAGAAGAGTGGTTGCTCCTCAAGGGAGCGATCCTCATTGCACAAACTAAGTCTATTCCATCTCGTAGGAAAGGCAGCAAGAGGGCACAGCAGCTCCCCTGGCTCTCCAGGGACCTAGCAGACCTCCTGAGGCTAAAAAGAAAGGCCTACAAAGGTTGGAGGATGGGAGTCACCTCCAAGCAGGATTATTCTGCACTGGCCCGGTCCTGTAGGGAGCAGACCAGGAAAGCCAAGGCTGCAACTGAACTCCAACTAGCTTTGAGGATCAAGGACAATAAAAAGTCCTTTTTCAGATATGTGGGGAGCCGGAGGAAAAG